TCCTCTGGCTCTATCACATTCCATTTTATAAAGCATGTAAAAAGTAGTTGAAACCAACGGAGAAGGAAAGAAAAGGAGATATACATACATACATACGTATATATATATATAGAGAGAGAGGGAGAGAGGGGGGGGAGAGGAGAAAGGATGGACTTTACACATGATTTGAAGTGAACAATAGGAACCCGACAGATCAAGCAGCTTTGCCTCTCCTCCTTCACTCTCACGAGCTCGCTTACGGCGGAAGAAAATCAAACTTATTCGCAGACGCATGGGACAACCCACGCAGTACGAAGAAAGAAGCACATAAAAAAAAAAGCATCGGCAGTGCATATTTTTCTTTTTCGTGCATGCATGGAATTACGCACTTTTTTTTTTTTGGGGGGGGGTAAGGGGACCGCAGAAGTAAAGCCAACAGCAGAAGCCAAGCAGAATAAGCAAGCATGCATGTGTCGCATACGTGTACCAGCCGACGGACCCGCACACTTGGTCCAAGCTGCAGTTGAGCACTGACAACGTCACATGCATTTATTGTCAAACGGGTTTTTTTTTGTTGTTGCTGCTGCTGCTGCCACGACACGTGCATGGTAGGGGTAATATATCAGGCACATGCAGATATATATGCATATTGCCTCTAACGCACGGCACTGCAGGCGCCCGGCGTCCATGCACGTGCGCGTAGGGGCATTGTGGAGGTCAGTGCGTGTCTTCCCCTACCAGCGAATTAAGTACACGACCCACAAGCACAGTGCCTCTCCCCTCGCGTGCTGCCACGGCAGTGTGAGCCTCCAAAGCCGGCGCAGGGGCAACCCCCAGGATGCGGCGGCGGACAAATAAGCGCTCCCCACCTCCCACCCTCAAAAAAAAAACAAAGCAAACAAACAAACAAACAAACAAACAGAAAATCGAAAAAAATCACGGTTCTTTTGTTTGCGTTTTTTTCTCTCTCTCTCTCGCTCTCTCACTTTATTGCATTTCCGCCTCTTTCCTCCTCCTGTTGATTCAGACGGATATATTCATTGTGCGGTTTATTTTCCTCTCCAGCTCGCAGCCTCTGCCGTGGCGAGGCGCACACCCTGCGGGGAGGGGCGCCCCCCCCCCTCCTCCCTCCTTCCCCGTGTCTTCTCCCTCCCTCGCCCGCCGTGCCGTGTGTGTGTGTGTGTGTGTGTGTGTGCGTCCGGCGGCGAGAGAAAAGAAAAGGAAAAAAAAAGGAGCGGAGGCGCGAGGCCGGCGGGGCAGCCGCAGGCAACCGCCCTGCAAGCGGCCCGCCGGCTCACCCCCCGCTGCGCCGGCAGCGGCAGCGACGGCAGAGTCGAAGGTAAACGACGCAGGCAAATAGAAACAAAAACAAAAACAAAAACAAGTAAACGGAAAGAAAGGGGAGAAAAGAAAGTAAATCTGCCAACATTCAGAAATAGGACAAAGAAAAGAAAAAAAGAAAAATAAATTACGTCTTGAATCTAACCCAACCCATCCCGCACCAGCGACACCCCAGCCAACAACTTTTTTTTTTTTTTAGTTTCACAGTAGAGCAGCGTGCACTTCTCCGTGCAATACAACTCGACACGCCTGAACATGCCCGCAATACACTCATTGCAAACCCAAGACGTCAATTCTCGAGTAGACGCCCTCCCGCAACCTCATGTATTCCGCTGCAAGTTCCGCAAGCATCCGAGGCGACTCGCGTGAAGTTTTCCCCTCTCTCTCTCTCTCTCTCGTGTGCACACTGCACCCACCACACCGTCCTTCCCCACACACGCGCAGATTCATCATGGGGAAAGCCTCACGGGAGCGGCCCACCGAAAGAAACGGGGAGGGGGGGTGAGCAAGAGGGAGGGAGGAAAACAGGAATAAAGCAAAAAAAAAACAAAGAATATGCGCGTGAGCCCGTACATACGCACACGTACACACATCTCTACGTCGCAGAGGACGAGGAATCGGCAGAGCAATACGCGTTTGCCCTCACCGTGACCCTCCCGCAGCCCCCAGAAGAGTAGGCGGTGGACAGGTACCTTCAAGAGAAAAATAGATGCGGGGCAAGGGGGTGCAAAGACACGCACACATACGCAGTTGACGACAACCGCGCTCATACACAAAACAAAGGGCACATCTGGCTCCCCAACATATGGCAAATGGATGCATGGGCGCTCGAGGGAATCGAGCTGTTCGTTCCCAACAGCAACAGCCAAACAAAGCAACGAAGGAAAAGGAGAATAAAAAAAAACAGATTACAAGAGTAGAGGCAATGGAAACAACAGTAAAGTAACAATGATGACTCAGAAGCAGAAAAACATCAACCACAGTGTTGATTGTTTTGTTTTGTGTTTATGTATATATATATATATATATATCCATGAATAGCATGTTCAGCTTCTACATTCGTCAACAACTTTTTTGTCTCGCCGCTTCTGGACTCTCGCTCACGCGGTGGCGGTGCCGTAGATGGACGCGATGGTGCCAAACACAATACCTACGACTCCAGCTATCAACAGCGCATGCGTGGCTACGTAGTCGAATAGGCCAACCGACTTCAGTGTCCAGTTCCCCGAGTACAGGTAGAAGAGAGAGGGGAAGACAAAAGAGAGGAATCCACCGCAGATGGAACCCACGAGGCCAAACACGGTGTTGATGTTAGGAATAAACAGCCCACAGAGGAGGACCACCGCCGAGAGTGTAATGACGGCGATGAAGTGCTTCCAGTAGGGCAGCGTTTCCACCTCCCAGCTGATGCAGTGGTAAATCGCGTTGCGGCAGGCCATCGTCTGCAGGGCGTAGGCAGCACACAACTTAACGAGCATGCCAACGTACCCAGCCATCACCATCCCTTGACTCAGAGGGTTGTACATGAGCAGAATGGAACTCTCGACCGCGCTTCCAAACTCAATGTACCCAAAGAACACCGTTAATACATACAGCAAAAGGCAGAGTAGCATCGCAATGGCCGCGTATAAAGTGTAATTCCTCACAGAGCGATCTTTCATTTCCCAATAGACCTCAAAACAATTAATTTGACACACAAACGCAAACATAAAGACCCCGAGACCCTTGATCGCCGCATTGCCGGTGTTGAAAAGCTTGATTGTCTCTCCATCCACTTTGTGAATGTTCTCAAGGCCGCTCTCGCAGGAGTGAATGACGAGCATAATCACAAAGTACACCACAAAGGCGACAGCAAGCGTCGACACGTAGCGTAGGGAATTCACCTGCTTTGGCAACACAAGTGGAAGCATGACAAAAAACCAAACTGCACTTGTCACAAGACGACGCCCCGAAACGGTCTTGAGGTATTTTGGTGCTCCAGGTGAATTATTGAGCATCGGCTGCAGAATGTCACCAACGCTGATAACGTACGCAATGGTGGAACCAAAAGAGTTAACCCATCGAACACAAGCAACAAAGTAGTCAAAGCGAGCTCCGATTAATTGCTTTGCCATGTTTTCAAAGGTACGAATTCCCGTCTTCTCCATCGTCTTGCCGAGAAGGTGTAGGGAGTAAATGGCAAAGGCAGTGATTATCAACAAATATATGAAGGCCATGACTAGACCGCTGCTATTGGCGGCCGCCGGAAGGCCGAGAATACCCGCCCCAACGCACACCGAAGCCAGGTTAAAAACGCTTGAAACAAGTCCACCGGGCGGCAAAACACGAGCCGTAAACTTTTTTACACGGCTCAGGAAGCTTGGCGGTTCCCCCCGCTCCTCTCGTGGCCCTGAATAGAGAATTTCATCGGGCTCCTCTGAGGTAAAAGGAGTGTCTGCCACCTTCTTCGCCGCTTGTTGGAACTCAACCTCCAGCGAGCAGTAGCCGGCCGGAGGCAGGTTCAGGGGCTCCCGGCTGGTTTCTGCTTCCGCTTGCATATTCCGGCGACAAACGGACCCAAGACTGTGTGTGTGTGTGTGTTGTTGTTGTTGCTGTTGTTGTTGTTGTTTTGTACTCCTCCTTTTGCACCTGCTGGCCTTTCTTCCCTATTGCCTTGTCCCGTTATCCTTCGCCGTTTGCGTATTCGCCCCGCACAGCCGCCGTCTCTCCCTGTTTGCTCTTTCGCTTGTTCGATTTTTTGCTGCTGTTGATTTCGTATTGGTTCCCTCTGCCTATACCGTCCTTTTCCTTCGCTATACTACTTCGCTTGCTGTTTGCGTTTATGCTCTTTTTATGTCCGTGGTGCTTTCTCCCCTTCGGTTTAATAAAGGCCTCGCTCCGGAGGCAGGCTTACCTTCTCCTTCACCCTTTCTCTCTCTCTGTCTCGCTTTCTCAATACGTATATATATATATATATATATATATATATAT